CCTTTCCTTTCCTTTCCTTTCCTTTCCTTTCCTTTCCTTTCCTTTCCTCCCTCCCTCCCTCTTATATGCCATAACCCTCAGCACAACAAAACCATTACCAAACCACACAACCGCAAGAAAAACTCCCCGCACCCCCGTGCAGTGTCAGTGGGCCCCAGCCTCACCCTTCCCCAATGCTTTTGGGAGGAAAAATGGTGCGCTGTTACCTTTTTTGGGCAGGCTCTGGGCGACTTGCAAAAGTCCGCCTGCGCTCGGCCCAGCCTTACCTGCTGCCTGTCCCTGGCTGAGGATTTTGTGGCTCCTTCGACGGCTGCTCGTCTAGCTCACCCGCGGTGGCCGCTCTCTCGCTGGGCCTAGCCTTTGCTCTCCCCAGCTCCTGCAACGCAATCGGGCATCCTGTGAGGGAAAGACCTTGCTCTCCATTTACTCTCGTGCAACTCCAGTCGTACGGCCAGAAGCTTTGCATGTATCGTCTGCATACACAGAAATTCCAAACCCAATCGAAACCTTCCACTCTCTCTCGGCCTGATCTACCTCCCAGGGTTGTTGTTGTGGGGAAAATAGGAGGCAGGAGTATTAGGTATGTTTGCCACCTTGAATTGGCTATAGATAAATATATAATAATAATAGTAATAATCCCGCAACAGGTTGGGTGCAACACTTAATCAACTTCTTGTTCAACTCCAGTTTAATATTAGAAGTCATCTGCTGCTGTCCTGCGGCACCCTCTGGTGGGTGAAGCTGAAATTTACAGGTAGTCCTCACTTAAGGACCTTAAATGGGACTGGCAACTCTGCCGCTAAGCAAAGCGGTCACTAAGTGGAAATCACAGGACGGTGGCTGTGCTTTCCGGCTGGAAAGAGACAAGACTAGTCAGTTTCACACCTTCTGCTTTTGTTTGCCTCCTAACCACTCCCTCGTCCTTTGGAACACTTGAGTGCCTATTTGTTGTCATCTACACATCGAAAGCAATGAGATTGTGCAGGCAGCCTGGGGCTGGGAACCATGGATGCACTACGCAAACAGGTTACAGTACTCTCTTGCAATCCCCTCCCTCCCTTGCAGAGCAGAGAGATTGGAGAGGAAGGGATTGCAAGAGAATAAGCTGTTTGCTCTCCTACACGTTGAGGCCAATGAGATCACATGGCCATGATCTCATTGCCCTCGATTGCAGGAAAGGGTCAGGCAAAGGAGAGCTTGCCTACAGAAATTGCTTGCTTTCTTCCCCCCCACCCCCCCGCAGAGCAGAGAGGTAGGGGAGGAAGAGATTTCAAGAGAGTATTGTAAGCTGTTTGCATTGTACGCCCAAGGCTCCCAGCCCCGGGCTGTTGGCGCGATCGCATTGCTTTTGATGTGTAGAAGAACAAACAGCTTGCTCTCTTGCAATCCCTTTCTCTCCAATCAATCTGCTCTGCCAAGGGGGGAAAGAAAGAACAAAAAACACAGGGTAGGCACAGTATAACGCATACTGACTGTAATGGTGATCACGTGACCAAGGGACCCTGTGAAGGTCGTAAATGGGCCACAAAGTTATTTCATAACTTCGAACTGTGCTGAACAAATGGTCAGTAAGCGAGGACTACCTGTAAAGATTTATTGCGGCAATCAGGTCAAAAGTTGACTGATCACAATTTCTCATATACACACACACTGAGAAATTGCTCATTTCTCTCTCTCCCTCTCGCTTTTTTCTCTTCCCTCCACATCCCTTCTTCTTTTATGCTGAGTCCTATGAGATTGTTTTGGGGGGGAGCAAAGAAAAGCCATACAAAAACTCTTCTGGGTGCCTTTGAGGCTGAAAGCCTGGCACCCTTCAAAAATTCCAGCTGCTGACCCCAGGACCTTTCCCAGCAGTGCTGTTTATACCCCAGTGATCCCAGTTACCTCTTCCAGGATGGCGGCTGCTTTATCCTTGGCTTCCAGTTGCTTTCTCAAGCTTGCACTCTCCTGTTCCAGCTCTCCAAGACGTTGGAGAGCCTCTTGCAGGCTGCTGAGCTCTGCTGCCTGCTGGCAAGTTTGGGCTTCAAGGAGGGCCAGATGGCGGCCCTGCTCGGCCAGCGCCTCCTCCTGGGCCTGAGTTTTGGCCTTCAGCCGCCAGCTGTCCTTGTCAAGCTGCCGCCGGCAGCGCTCTGCTTGGCTCAGTGCCTCCTCCAAGGCCCCTTTTTCAGTCTCCAGCTGAGCCAGGGTGACCCTGTGCTGTTCGAGGCTGCGTTGCAGGCTCTTGAGCTCCTGCTGAGCCTCACCCAAGTCTTCTTCGGTTAGTTGGAGTTTCTGGGCTAGCCGGGCCCCCTGAAGACGTTCCTTCTGAAGGCTGTGCTGAGCCTGGCTTAAGTCGACCTCGGCCTGGGTGGCTGCGTCTTGCAAAGCCTGGGATCCAGCTTTTAAAGTCTCCTTCTCCCGCTCTAAGGCCTGGATCTCTTCCATCAGGCGCTCTGCCTCTGAGTGCCACCGCTCACATTCCTCCTGTGCTTCGGCGTACGCTCCCTCTATGTTCCTCAGCTTCTCCTCGAGGCTCGTTGCGTGGCTGGATTCGGCCTCCCGCTTCCGCTCAGCCTCCCGCAGCAGCGTCCGGGCCTCCGTCAAGGCGGCCTCCATTTCCGCTACCGAGGTCTCGGCCTCCTGCTTCAGGGCTTGGCTTTCCACTGTTTCAAGGGGGACATCTTTGTTCTTTTGCTGCACCTGAACCCCTGGTTTGTAGTCTTGAAGGTCTGAGTTCTGCTGTTCCTCCTGGTTGGGCAGCCGTTCCTGCTAAGCGGAACGAAGATGGGAGTTGCATACGAATGGCTTGCCAAAAAAGAAACGCATTTCCAAAAAAGAGTGCAGATTTGCAAAGAGAATCTGTAATGGTCTGTGGGGATGGCCTTGGGAGACAGGAGGAAGAGCTGCAGACTAAACAATGGTCAGATAAGAGAAATCTGAGTCCAGAGCAGAACTGTAACCCGAGAAAGCATCTCAGAAGGGACCCTCCCTAGTTTCTTGGACTGTAAAGACAAGGGGGGAGACATGTACTTTTAGACTTTCAAAATTGAGGTCCAGATTAGGAAACCAAAGTTAGGAATGCTAATACTACTTTTATTATAAGATTACAGTAGCAGTTTCTTGCAAGTCTGAATGCGCCTCCCCCCTCCCTGCCTTTACCTTCAAGAGGGTCGAGTCTGAGACTCTTTCTCAAGTTAGAGTTCTGGCCCAGACTCAGATTCCTCTTATCTGACCATTGTCTAGTCTGTGGCTCTTCCTCCTGTTCCTCAAGGTTATTCTCACAGCCCATTACACTCATTCCCTAATGTTAGGGCCTGCTCTAACACCTGTCCCTTCCATACCGTCCCATCAAAGGTGGCGTCTTGCAGATCTTCTATATTCTTTGATTTCAACGCAATCTGAAACCAGCACCGTTCCTGATTCTCCTTCTCTAGGGCTGGCAGTCGATCGGCCTCCTTCATCTCACAGTCCAGCAAAAGGGGCACTTGGGGGAATTCTGCAACCAGAAGGAGGAGAATTATAATTCTTGCATGCAAATGGATGTAGGGAAAGTGGATCATGGGATCTGGGAGAACTGAGAAAACTCACCATTTGCATTCCAGTCAGAGTCCTCAGACCATAATCCCTTTAGGGAATTCTCTAAAGTTTCTTGCAGCTGCTTCTTCAGAACCAAATTCTCTCTCAAAATCTCCTCCAATTGGCAAGAAAGCTGGTCCCGTTCCTACAAGCCAAGTCCAGGTTAAAATTTTATCCATGATATCAGGTCTATTATTCCGCCCCCCCCTTTTTTTCCTGATTCTCAGCCCTGTCTCTGTGCCGGAAGCAAGATTCACATGTGGAGAACTGAAGAAATTGCAAGGTTTTTCTTCCATACATTTTTCCCGTCCAGAAAAAAAAAGATCATTTAATTCAGACAGGGTGCAACAGGCTGCTTTGGGGAATCTATCCACTCCTGTAAATTTATTTTAATTTAAAAAAAAGAAAAAGAAAATTGTAGTACAAGGTGAGAGAATCACAGCTAAACCTATATATACAGTAAACTGGACTGTAAATTCTCTTAAATCCAACCGTGGTTCTCTAGTCAGTTTCACAACCTGATCTAGTCAGTTTCACAGTGGAGGTGAAAAATCCATCCATTGATTTCCCCCTTTTTAACATAAGTAGTATTTTCTTTAGGGTTATGTCTTACTTCCAGAGAAGTGGGTGGGCTCTTAATCTAAGTCAAGGCCGAGATTGTGTAAAGCTTTTTCTGTCCAGCCAGTTTGGATCATGAAACTTCATTCTCACAACAGAAAGGGTTATGTATGCTTGCGAAGGGAAGGGAAGGGAAGGGCGAAGCCCACCCTTGCTGTCCCTTTTTCCCTTTTAATTCCCCAGGAAATTACAATTAATTCCTTCAAGGAATTAAAACCTCAGATCTCTTTCCCAGACTCAGAGTACAAAGCTGCCCTTAAAACAAAGAAAACCAAAATCAAAATCTCCAGTGTTTTGATTGTGTTAGGTAAGAACAATGTGTACTTTAAGACTATAAGATTCCACATAAGGGAACTAAACAGTCCAAATTCTCTGGGGACTTTTTTCCAACTAGATCTTAACTGACTTTCTTTTTTCCCCGATACCCTAAATAGCCCCACCATTCCAGGCTTCCCCTCCTTAACCGAGTTTCTGCACTACGAAAGGGGACAGAGAAATGTTGGGAATGAGAAATGTTTTGGAATGAACCGTCTTCTTTCCACCCATACCTCTTGGATCTGGTTCAAGTGGTTTTGCAGACGCAGATTTTCTTTCTCGACCTGACTCAGGCGCTGGCCTCGGGCGTAAGCAGCTTCTAGCTCTCCCTCCATCATGGCTTTGGCCTCCAACAGAGCCTTGGAGAAGTCACGCTCTTCCTGAGGACCAAAACAGCTTATTCAAGCACCGAGGCCAGATCCCAACTTCAACAACTTTTGGATGCTCTCTCCCGCAAGATTCTGTTCATGTAACTTTACAATAAAGTAGAATTAGCTTATCTGGTCATGATTCCTGTCTGGTCTCCCTGGTAAGGCTGACATCAATCTTGCAAGTACAATTCTCCCACCATCTCCTTTACAGCCTGAGAAACTAGGGAGGGTCCCTTCTGAGCCTCTTTCCCCTCCCATTATGCAGCTGAGGGCTATGCTCCCTCTTATCTGACCGTTCCCTAGGCAGCATCTCTTTGCCCGATCTCCCAAGATCTTTCCCACATACCATTACACTTCTCCCATCATCAGGGGGGGCTGGCAATCCCAGAAGCACCAGCAAGGAGAGGAAGATTTGGCTGAAGCCAAAAGGAGCTGGAGTCGCTGAGCCAAATAGAGCGCTGCCAGTGACAGATAAACAAGGACGTCTGGCAGCTGAGGATAAATGCTTGACGTACAGGAATCATTTTGGGATCAATAAGACTGCCAGCATGCTAGAGCAGAATGAGATTTCTCCTCCCAAATCGGGGTTTATTTCATGTTTTATTTTCCCCTTCCTTCCCTTATTCAAGGTTATATGGTTCCCAGTCTGATTTTCTCAAAAACCCTGCACCGTCGCCAACATCAAGATATTCCAGTTACCTGGAAAAGTTCATATTTGGACATGCAAACTCTTTAGGAATTATGGCTGATCAAAGGGCCAAAAAATCAGTTTTTGCAGTTCTGGGTGCTCTTGCTTCACAGCCTCATCAGGGCAGGTTTAATCGAGAGGGGAGCCAATTTGAAACGTACGAAGCCACTGCAATCAGTTTAGACATCCTGTGCTGCATCTTCATTCCCCCTCCTTTACATTTCTGATCCTATCCATCCATTCCCTCCTGGCCTCCCTAACGATTCTACTCCTGGTGACGGAGGGTATCTTTTCATTCTGAAATTACAGAGCTTAGATCCCAACTGCGTCAAGTCGTAACGAAAGTCCAACCTTCAGCTGAGCCCGGCATCGGTCCAAGGCAGATATCCGTTCCCTCATGGCTGTCAGCTCCGACTGGAGCTTCTCTGCCCGAAAAGCCTTCTCTCGCAAGGCGTCTAATTCGTCCTGGTAGAGTCTGGCTTGGCGGACCTCCCCAGCCAATGCACGGTTCTGGGTAAGAAGGAACGCGTTAGAAACCCCACCGTCCCCATGATGTCATGCTTGCGTGATCATGTCAGGACACGCCTGTTGTGCTAAATTATTTTGAGGGAAGCACCTCTTGCCGCATCTTTCGAAGCTCTTGCTCCAAATTCTTCGATTCCTCTTGCTGATCCAGCAGTTCCTCCATCTTCCTCTCCCTGAAATTTGGATTGAAAGATACGAGTTTTAGGGTACAAAGGTATATTTACGTTATGCTGGTCAGATGTGTAGAAGAGGAGCCAGAGAGGGCTGTGATGGAAGCATAGGGGATGTCCTGGTGAAGGTGATGGTTGGCACCAGAGAGACCCAGGTTCAAGTCCCACCTTAACCACAGAAGCTCCCTGGAGGATTTTGGGGCAGTCCTTCCTTTTCAGCCGAAGAGACAGAATAGTGTAGTGGTGAAGATGCTGGACTAGGAGTGGGGCGAGACAGGTTCGAGTCCCCCTTCAACTACAGAAGTCCCCTGAATGAATTTGAGACAATCCCTCCCTCTCAGTCGAAGAGACAGGGTGGTTCAGTGGTGAAGATGCTGGACTAGGGATGGGGAGACCTGGGTTCTAGTCCCCCTTCCTCCCCAGAGACTCACTTTGGGGCATTCACTTGCTCTTGGTTCTACAATCAAGGGTTGTTGATGCAGTGAAAATTTGAGACAGGGATGAAATATCAGGCCTGAAGGCTATTGAAGGTGGTATGGTGTGGGAGAAGGAAGGGGAAGGGGAAGGGG